GTCTCTTTAAGAGCAGGCCTGGCTCGAAGCCCTGACCCGCCTCTGGTTTCAGCGTCACCATCTCTTCCTCCACTGCACAGCTGAGTTTCTATTTCTCCGGCTTCTCTTCCTCCATCGTGCTTCTCCCCGGCTCAGGCAGGATGGCATCACCCACGTCCTCGCAGAAGCTGGAGGAGAAGCTGGTGTGCTCCATCTGCTTGGAGCTGTTCAGGGTGCCCGTGACCTTGCCGTGCGGGCACAACTTCTGCAAGGGCTGCATCAGCGACCACTGGCACAAGCAAGAGCAGGCTCCCGCCAGGGCCGAGAAGGGGTACACCTGCCCTGAGTGCCGCAGGGACTTTGAGCAGCACCTAACGTCACCCTGTGCAGTGTAGTGGAGCTGCTGCGGGACGGTGAAGTGCGGCTCTCGGGCGCGGAGAGGTGCGAGGTGGCCCGCGGTGAGCTCTGCCCGCAGCACGGGCGGCCGCTGGAGCTGTACTGCGAGGATGAGCGGCGGTGCATCTGCTGTGTCTGCACCGTCCAGCAGTGCCAGCGGCACCGGCGGGTGCTCTTTGAGGAGGAACGCTCTAAAAAACAGGTGGGGGATGCTGGGTGGCAGGGTGGGAGGCATGAGTGGAGGGAGTTGCCCAGTTTGGGCATGGCACAGCATCCACCTCTGCTGTCCCGTGTCCTGCTGTGAGGATGTGATGTTCCTCCATGTGACAAGCTGTGCCTGACCTCAGCTGAACACGGGGCTGACGTGGGCTCTGGCCACGGAGATGCCACCAGCACCCAGCTGCTCCATGAGAAACCAGGGGCTGTCAGGAGCAGCAGAGAGCTGGATAAATCCAGCAGCACCATTTGTGCTTGTGACCCCCTGATCCAGAGAGAACAGCTGAAAAAGAGGTGAAAGACAGCACAGGGTTTTGCTTAGTGACCCTGGAGGCAGACTCTCTCCTTCCCAAGGCTCCTTCCCTGCAAGCCTTGTCCTGCAGCCCTGAGAGGGCTCCTAAGGTCCAGACAGGCAGCAGCGTCCTGCACCACAGAACGTTAATGCCTCTCTTTGCAGGCCCTTTTGAAAGAGTCGGTGGAAAAAGCCCAGGAGGAATCAGAGAGGATCGAGCAGGTGATACAGGAGCTGGAGAAGCAAACACACAGTATCAAGGTAACACCGTGGCCACCTCTGTGCTAGGTGCATGAGTGGGAGGGAGCACCTTGGTTCTCACTGCTCATCCCTACCCAGGACTCTTCTGAGCATCTCAAGTTGGTGATTCAGAGAAAATTCACCTTCCTGAGGAAAGCCTTGGAGGATTTCCAGTTGCAGACAGTGACCAGGATTGAGCAAGAGGAGGCGGCAGCACTGGAGCGCATTGATGAGGATTGGAACAACCTGAAGGACCACCTGGATGTCCTCAGCCAGCACAAGGAGAAGGTTCAGCATCTGCTGGCTTGCCCCGACCACAGGACCTTCCTCCAGGTACCGTCCCAGTGCCGTGTCCCTCCCTACCCGCTTTTGGTGGGGGCAGGATATGTGGTAGATCCCTTCCCCAGTGGGGGACACATCCTCAGCCTGACTCAGGGATGTGATGGGCCTGCGGGGAAGAGCTGCTTTTGAGGGGGGAGGTCCCTGAAAAATTGTGGGGGCAATGCTGGATCAGAGCGGATGGTGCTGCCCACAGGGCCACGGGCAGCATCTGACACGCTGAAACTGCTTGGCAAGATTCTTCTGCTGCAAGCAAAACACAGTCCCGTGCCGCAGCCTCACGCTCCCCCTGCAACTGTACCCTGAC